CATTGAAGCAACTACCATGTGATTGGTTGATTAGATAATTGCATTAATGAGAAATTGAACAGGTGTTCCTAATAATCCTTTAGGTGAGTGTACTTTAATACTATACTGCAAAGAGAGGGGGGCGTGTCCTGACTGAGTCGTCAAATGACCTGAGGATAGAAACTCCTCCTCAGTCCGGAACCTTCTGCCTGATTGCAGAAGTTGAAACAGTTCCTTACCGGGATGAGACAGGTCTTTAACAATCCTTACAGCTCTGGATCTACATCTCCTTGTGTAGATGACCTGCAGCAGCGTTCCACTGCACGGATCACTCTCTGAAGGCAAGGGCGTAACTTTGGCTGGAACATTGGGGGGGTCGAGGTCTCCACCCATTACAGGGGAAACATTATTATTGGGGGGGGGTTATATTGGCTGGATCTGATTATTGGGGGGGGTCATGACCCCCCTACCCCCCCTGGAAATTACGCCCATGTCTGAAGGTTCTCAGAGATGTAGACGCCCAGGTACTTGGTTCTGCTCATCCTCTCCACTGGAGCTCCGTTGATGATGAGGGGCTTGTAATCACGCTGCTGTCTCCTTCTGAAATTGACCACCATGGTCTAACTGATGTAAGGGGGAATATTCTGCCCCATAGGTATGTCCTCCATTTCTCATTTGCCCACACACAAGCCTGGGCTTCATTTTCAACGGTTTAGTACTTGGGATCAGAAAAAGTCGGTGTCCTGGAAGCAAATGCAACGATGTGCTCTGTGTGTCCTGGATGAATCTGTGAGGACAGCAGCCAGTACATAACCGGACACATCTGTGGACACAACGGTAGGTAGATCAGGACCAAACAAGACCAATGCTGGACTGTCTAACAGCATCTGTTACACGGCCTGAAAGCTACTTTGTGCATCATCTGACTACTGAAGTTAGAGGTCTCACAGATGCAGGCATGTACGGATTCAACAACTCTTGCAAAATTGGGAATGAATTTACTGCAGCATGATAAAAGTCCAAGAAATGAATAAGATAAGATAAGATAAGATAAACCTTAATTAATCCCACAGTTGGGAAGGAAGCTTAGCTGCATCATTTGGGGCTGGAGCATAGATAATAACAGCGAGATGATGTCCATCAGGCTGAACTCCATGAGCTGTGACCATGTGGCCAAGGAACCGCAAGCTGGTCCTGCTGAAGGGCCATTTGTCTTTGTCCAGCTGCAGACCAGCCTCATGTATGTGCTGAAGAACAGCTGCAGTGTTTGGTCATGTTCTGTTTGTGTTTCACCTCAAAGGATAATTTCATCAAGACAGTTTCCTACATTTACTGACTCCTGCAAAAATGTCCCTGACATCTTATGTAAAGCAGATGGAGCTGAGACCAACCCACATGGAACTTAACAAAACAGGAAAAGTCCTTTGTGTGTAATGAAAGCTGTTAAGTCATGACTGTCCTGAGACAATGGTAACTGAAAGTATGAACTTTCCAGGTCAGTTGTGGAGAAGACAGCAGCCCCTCTCAGCTATGATAACATTTCCTCCATGTGTGTAATAGGGTAGCTGTCTGTTACATCTGCTTTGTTAGGCTCATGCAAATCCACACACATACAGATTCCCCCAGACTTCTTCTGCACAATGACAATGAGTCAAACCCATGGTGAAGCATCAGTCTTCCCAGTGATACCTGCTTAAGAAGACGATATAGTTCCTTAATCACAGCATTCTGAACAGAGAGCGGCAAGTGGCGTAGTTTATGACGTACAGGTGGGACACTGTCTGCTATTTCAACTATTTTTAAAAATCCTTTGGCTGAACCCAGAGACACCCGGGTTGGCGGAGCAGCAGGCAGGTGACTGACAGGTTTGGAAGTTGTCATGGTAACTGGAATGATAGCAGTGCTGTTAAAACAAAGATTGAGTCCCTTTATTAAATCCGGTCCAAGCAAACAGAGCCTGACTCAACAACATAACTTACCGCAGCATGTAATGTCGTCCTTAGAGACAGTGACCGGTAACAATCCAAGAGCTGCACTTGGAGCCTCAGAGTCTGTGACCAGTTTCATAGCAGAAGGTTGTAAGGATTCACCACAGAAATAAGGATTATTGTAGTTTGGCTGTGATTTTGGGTGCGGTTTGCGATGGCGGCTTCCTCCGCAGGAGTCGGCCTGGTATCTACAACCCATACATGTAAGGAGAGCTGGCTGGAGATACATCTCACCTGCTGCCCAGCAGCTTCAGTCTGAGGCCCAAATCTAACAGCCTGACTAAAATTGGCTGCTACGTCTCTAAGGGCAGCGATATGCTGTTAGACTCAGTAGGAGCTTGAACACATTTTCTAAATGCATGTCGCACTGCCAGCACGTTTCTCTTAGGAGTGACATGTGCACACAGCACAGTAATGGCGTCCTCCATCGACTCACCCTGGACCAGAAAAGTGTAAAAGGGTCTCTGACTCGAGGCAGTGGAGAAGCAGCACGTTTGCGAGTGTCCTGCCAGTCGTCCTCCGGTGTGGCAACAACAAGCAAATGATTTCTAAGTTTATAAGTTTAATCCAAGTATCAAACTGCATAGTCGGCTCCCCTGGGCCCAGCAGAAAGTGAGCATTAAAAGAAGGACTGACCACCATCAGACAGTAGTTGGTTCCTCGTCGCCAGTTTAAGTTGTGGCTTGGAGGAATCAGAGGTACATTATAGATGTGCTGCTCGATACACCGTGTCGAATCACATGTCGAGTTTTCAAAGCAACAGTGTTTTGAGGCAGTGCCTCAGTGCCTCAGTGCCTCGCGTCACATGACATTGTCATGTGGTCACTGGGAAAGACGCTTCCAAACTTCACTGAAACGTCATACGGTTCTCAAAAACAATGCAAGGCAGATGGTACAGCTCACTGTAATGATAATGTGCATAAGTCAACAATAAATATAAATGTATATATACACTGCTTGGCAAAAAATCACATACATTCATATTTCGTTGGACCATATTTTGTGGTGCACATTCATCATGGCCTTGTTTCCACAAACTTATGCAAAATCTCAGCATTTATTTTCATCCATATTTGCATTAATTTCTCACTGAGATCTTATACTGAAGGCAAGTCCATAAAGTCCACCTCCATAAAGTCGTCTTCAGCTCATCCCAAAGACTGTCAATGGGGTTAATGGCCGAATCACATGTGAAAATGACTCTTTCCCAGTTCGAGCCCCATGGCCCTTGGCCTCCTCATCCTGGAACACGCCCATGTCATTAGGGAAGGAAACATCCATTGATGGTGGATGGAGGTGTAACCCGGCCATTCAGTAGATTCAGGTACTCAGCTGACTTCACTCTATTGCTGTGTAACGTTGCTCAGCTGTAATAATGATCCAGTCATTGGGTTTTAAGTATTTGCTGATTTAAATTCAAATGGCATTTTTTTAGGCCTTCAGTGCATATTCTAATCATAGGATAATGGGCTTGCATTACCAGTAGAAGCAAGTCAGAATGACCCTCATACACAGAAAGTCATGCATACAAGTACAATTTAAAACAGTTGTGACTGTTGTCGGCTGCTTTGTTTAACAGGAAGCTGATATATGATACGTGTCAGTGACACATTCACTTAGAAAAACACCAGGAGTGGGTGTAGGATGTTTTATTGACCAGTAGATGTCGACATAGAGTAAGGTGTCGAATGCTTTGAGGCGCCAAACCCTTTCAGCTGCCAAAGCATCACTGTCAAAAGCCTCATTCAGCACATCCGTAGAAAATACAGTTAAACTTAAACATATTTTAATGACACTCTGAACAATGTGTAATACACTTCTCCACACTCTGCTCACTCCTCACTCTCTTTCGTCCCTCTGCCCTCTGTCTCCCCCTACTGGCCTGTATGTGTACAGCACTGAATACAGCAATAAGTAAGATTTATAATCCTGAGATACGTGCCTTGGATTACAAGGTTGTATAAATCTGACTTTTACTGGTTGTATGAACATTTAAGTTTTTGTACGTACATATATTCTTCCGCATTAAGGTACAAACATTTATATGCATGAGCTCCCTGGTTTGGCTCCTTTTCTATCACCGGCTGGGTTGCAGTCTTTCTGTGCCAGAAAGGGCTTGTTGTGTGTGGCCAGCAGGTGGCGCCAGCTCTGGGGTGTATCTAGCCGGGGGGGCCTGGGGGAGGGGTGTGGATGTGCAGGAGCTGGGGGGGGTTACCTGACGAAGCCCCTCCCTCGAGTCTCTGTCCTCATGTCACAGTGAGTTCTCTGCTCCCTCTCCCCAGGCGACCCACCCAGACCCTGACCTCTGACCCCGTGCAGACCCTGACCTCTGACCTCCCCCCTCGGCCCCCGCCCTTCCATGGACGGCACCAGACTGCTTGGTGTCATTCTGTTTGTCCCCCTCTGTCCTTACACACGTTTGTCTTTCATTTCGGTTTTATTAGACACGTCTCTGCTCTCGTTCCCCATAAAGTCCGGGTCCCTTCCTGCTGGCGTCTATCTGCCAGCCCACCTGAAGGGGGCGCCACAAACAGAGAGAGCCTCACGGGAGACTGAAACACAGCAGTGTGACAGAAGGCTGTGCCACCGTATCCAGTCCTGTGCATTAATTCTCATGGTCGCTGTTAGATTAATGTGCAAATAAAACAGATCATTCAAAATAGAACATTCATGACATTTTATTTTTAACTAAAAATACAAGAGAAGCATAACGACAGAATCAAATGTTCGTTATTTATGCCGGTTTCACATAATCACATATAATAAAATATTTCATTAAATGCAAACCGTTTTCTCCATGGTATATTGTGGGCTGTTGGAGACGGACCAGAGCCAATTAGAAGGTTTTTAATTAAAACTCACATTCATGTTCGTTTGGACTTTTGTCCAAAGTGACGCACAAGTGAGGCAGAGAGTAAATCACAAGCGCAGTACCAGTCCAAGCCTGTGTGGTGCCCTAGGCAAGCATCACCGCTGTCGCCCCCCCATCTGAGGCAAAGTCAAACTGCAGGGGAAGCTGACGCCCCTTCAGAAGTTACCCCCCCTAGGCGGTCGCCTATGTCGCCTGTAGGACTGACCGGCACTGCACAAGCATGCAGCTGTAAAGGAGCCAACTGGGCATAAGTGCAGCTGGGCTGAGCTTCCAGTTAATGCCCAGTGGCAAGAGCAAGTTAGCACTGGAGCAAGAGCCATACAGAGTGTCAAAAAGTAACCTAATAAAGGAGTGTATATTTGCAACGGTGATAATAGCGGCTATTAAGAGTGTGTATATATGTACATATTTCATGTAAAAGTTCTGATACTGAGAGGATTAGGCCCCAGTTCTGACGGTGGCGTATTCTGTAAAGTTGTCAGAATTTGCTCTCTCTCTCTTTTTCGGTGCCGGATGATTGACCATGGAGTAGGTGACTTCGTCCTCTGTCTGCTTACACACAGCAAAGAATAAAATGCAGTGTCAGGAATAATTGAATCAATAAGGATCTCATATACTGAGTGGATGTTTGTGCTCACCGTCTTCGGATTGGATGTCATGTGATTCTCTGACATACGGGGAGGTGAAGAACCATCTTTAAGCAAAACACAAATATACATTCATACTCCAGCTCAATGTTTAAGACTAAATATGAAGGAAATGAATGTCATTAACCCTAAGTAACAACTTCTTACTGGGACAAGAGGACACTTACAAATCACACATAGTAAACATCCTAGTCTAATATGTTTGATGGTCCATCATCTCTCATATCTACGTTCCTGTAAGCTGATTAAAATAAAGGTAATTTAAATAAAATATGAATAGTCCATTATGGCAGCTGAGAGGCCGGGTATGACAGAGTCAGAGTGTCCAGCAGCTCTGTGACTCACCTGCCCTCCTCCTGTACGTCACCATGACGACGACAGCCAGACACACAGCTCCAAACACAGCAGCTGCAGCCCCGATACCTGGCAGGAGTCCTGAGGGAGTATAGAACAGTGCGGGAGACATGGATGCATTACTATAGTGACCACTGTGACAGACAGGTTCAGCTAATAGAAGGTAACAGTGATTTTATGCATTTCTGCTCATACATTATGGGATTATGCTGTCATTGTGCTTAAAAATTAAGGTAAAAATAGAAACCAGAAATATCACTGTACCTGCGTTAGTTGGTGCAACTACAGTTGTGTGATTTGTATGGTTAGTATGGGAACCAGTATGAGTTGGTGTCTTCAGTGTAGTTTCTGTATGACCATTGTTGTCTTCAGGACTGTCTGTCAGTTGAGTACAAACACATAGAATTTTTTGCTCAGTTTCTACCACTAACCAGCTGGAGAATGTTAACTTGAATCAGACACTGTTAAGGACTAAACACTCATGTTATTTTGGTAAAAGGGTCTCACATTGAGGTTTTGTAGGAGAAAGACGAACAGTTTGCTTTATTATACGTATTTTTCAACATTTATTTTTGTAAGATTTAAATTATATTTAATATCCAAATATTTAACATATCCCCATGACCCAGGAGGATAAACGGTTTGGAAAATGGATGGATGGATATTTAACATTTATTAAATTTCTTTAACTGCTAAATTATTTATTTTTTAAAGGATTTCAAATTTAAATTAAAAAATAGGTTTAAAAAAAGCACAAACCAGAAATCAGACACCCTACCTGCTGTAGTACAGACTGTCCCTGTGTTTATGAGGTTAGTATGGGAACCAGTGTGAGTTGGTGTCTTCTGTGAAGTTTCTGTGGCTGTGGATGTTTTCTCTGTAGGTCTGTGTTTGTTTCCTGTAGTTTTACCACGACTCTGTTCTGGATAAACAGTAATGAAGCTGGAAGTTACTTAAGATCTTTCCATGATTAGCTTTTCAGTAACAGCACTTTATTAAAAAGTGACTCTGGATGTGGAAACACACTTTCATCCCTGCTAAGGGGACCTGATCTTTTTAAAATTAAACATCCTGAATAAGCAGCTGCAGTAATACACTGTGCAACTGAACTACAGTTTGCTTTGTCCTCCTCATTTTCAGCAGGGGGAATTTCTAGAAAATGGGCTGTTTTTAATAAAGTGTTGTTTATAAAGATGCTCAAAGCATGAAACAATTCTGAAGTTCTTATGTGAAACATAAAAAGATCTTTGTAAGAAATACTAATAGCCTGAACTTTCTGATATAACCCTACATTTTTTTAAATTGATTTAATATTTGGCAATTTTTCTGAATAACTATACTTACAGTAAAACCGGTCTAAGTCGACACTCGCGGGACCAGCTTAAAAGTGACGACTTAGAGAATTGACGAGATACACCTAAGTCGACACTTTGGCGACTTACGTCTATCTCGTAGTTTTGCCGACTTATCAAGTCGACACTTCAGCGACTTATGTCTATCTCGCCGATTTGACGACTAGTAAATATAACACCATACCTCTACTCATCACGGTAGAGACCTGCGCGGGACGGATTTTTCAGTCCCGCTCC